GGACGCCGAGCCTGGTAGGAGGGACGGGGCCCGGGGCGGCCGCGGGGTCGGCAGGACGGCGTTGGGGTGCAGATAGTGACAGCCACAAACTGAGCATCACCCTGAGGGAATCACCCGGAGAGCTTAGGGAAATTCGCCGCGTTTGCTATCTCCCTGCCACTTCGCTAGAGGCCTGGGTGGAGGCGTGTGGTGCAGGGGGCCAGATTTGGGTTCCTGCCGGTTCAAGGGGGTGGCTGGCAGTTAGCGGTGTGCAGTGCTGCTAGCAAGGGGCGATAGTCCCTTTGGCTGTGGTAATTGCCATCTACAGCTTCCCTAGGGAAATTCGGTAAGCGGTGATTAGCCCCGCATGGTGCTAGTTCATGCTTTGAGGAGTAGCTTTCTGCTGGTGCTGGACTGCATGTTGTGGGTAGTGTAAGCTATCTGCTCCCCTTTTCTTCTTTTCACATATGCTTTCTACTAATTGTTTTTCTTAGTGATCCAGCCTTGGATCAAGGTGCTGCTCGCCTCGTTCCATGTCCAGCCTTGCAACTAAAGAGATCTGGTGATTTAATTTCTTTCAAGTGAGCTTTAGGATCTTATCTTTTTTCTTACAGTCTTCTTCACACAAAGCAGCTGAGACACAACCTTCAAAGAGATTAAAATGTGAAAAACCTAGTCTGGGAAAATCAGAACAAGGACTTATCTGTGGAAGTGGAAACCTTGCTGCACTGGGGGAAACGCCTAAAACAGCTGATGGGGATCCAGGAGACCGCAATATCATTCAACAGAAAAAAGGTGAAAGCATTCCAGAGACTAATGAAGACAACCAGGAAAAGGAGCTTAATGTCACCAAGCTAGGTGCAGCGAAATCAAGCAGTGCTCCATCAGAAATGGACAGTGACGACAATCTGCACAATCATGTCTGCAGTGAAGAGGAGAGCAGCTGTGAGAGTGTACTGTCAGATGGAGATCTCCCAAAGAGGCCGATACAATCAGACAATAGTGCTTTCTTGGATGAAGACAGCAACCAGCCAATGCCGGTGGACCGGTTCTTTGGAGATGGCGAGTTTATCCAGGTAAGATGGTGACAGTCTGTTCACACTGCAGAGCCTCAGCTCTCTTCCACTTCACTCTCACATCTTCAAACAAAATCGTAGGCAGACTTGACCAGTATTGGGAGACATCTGGAGTCATATCCCTGTTCCCTAGATAGAATTGTGTCAATCAGAGATAAATAACTTGGCTGGGCAATTAAATCTCAGATATAAAATCTTATTTCAATTGTTTAATACAGTACCATAAGGTAGCTATTTTTACTCATCAATAGCTGGATTATGGAGATGCAGTGTTATTCTGTCAAAATAGCTTTTCACTGGCCATTGGTTCTTTATTGTAATTCTTTGGAAAGGAAACTGGTTTCTGGCCAGCTCTGCTTTTGGGCTGATTGGGGGCCAGAACTTTAAATTCACATACCAGGTCTACCATTAACGTTGTATAACTTTGGGCAAACAACGCCGCCTTCTTTGGGGCGTTTCATGAGGAGTAGCAAGGATTGTTTGTGGAGCACTTCACCCTGTCTGCATCCTTCTCAAGCCTGCAGAAGGAAAGCTGTGAGCCGGGCCTGGTTCAGGCAAGCTCCCACAAAGCTGCTCTGCTTTAGCTATGGGTTTGTGCCACTGCTTCCAAGTGAAGAGGTGTGTGTTGGTGCCTCGTGTCGGATGTGGAAGCGTGTGAACTGATGGCAAGGTTTGCCACGACAGACTTCCCATAATGATTTTATCTTTTTCTTAAAGGATCTCCCAGCAGTGGTACTCCCAAGCACAACAATGAGCAGGCGAGAATTCAGAAGGCTCCATTTCATTGCAAAGGAAGAGGAGGATGATGAAGAGGATGCTGTCTAACAACAAACTGTAAACAAACAAAACCTTTATTCTTTTCCTTTGCAGCCACATAATGATGGCTGGCTGCATCGCTAACATAAGGTGTCTGTTTGCCTTTTCTCAGACAGAGAACTGGTAGAGTTTGTTTTTCTGGAATTGACAGATGCAGTATGCTCCCACAGTTATCTGGGGCAAAGATTGACTGAATGTTCAGTGATTTGGAAATAAAAGTGTAAGTTATCACTTTACCACTAATATTTAGGGAAAAACCCAGGGAAAACAGAAGTTCTTACTGCTTTTTTATAAATTTGAGCCCTTATCTAGGGTGAACGTTTGGTCTTGCCCCTTTTTTAAAAATAGCCAAGAAAACCATGTTAGAGGAAGGTCCTTTTTCTTTTCATTCTGTGCTGTCTGCTGTTGCAGCAGCCGGCTGACTGCCAGCACAGAGGGACACCAGCCTCTGTGCATGTTGTGTTGCATCGCTTGCATCAAAACCAGAACCAACTCACCCTCCCAAATGCGGTCTGCATTTTTAGAAAATAATGAGCCACCTCAGGTGATTTCAGGAACTGGTAGCTCACCTGATGTTTATGATAAGACTTCTTTGAAAGCTGGATTATGCAATAAGCTTCCAGATCTTTACGGTTATAAATAGTTTCTTCTACATTTCTAAAACTATACAGAAAATGTTATCAGCAGATGGTTTAAATAAATATTAATTTCTATAGCTATAGCCTGTTAAACATTCAAAAGTTGTAAGCCAAACAAATTGTATATGCATGACATGATAATTTATTCACATTTCCACTCCAGCTGATGCATTGTTTCCATCAACGACATTTCTGGGCTCCTTTTAACTCTTAATTCTGTAACAGAAAAATCTAATTTTTTAATGGCATATTCACAGCTTTCAGCACAACTCCATCTTGAAGTAGCTCTCCCAGCTTCCCTTCAATGCCGTATTTGCTACCATCTCTCTCTAGCAAAGGTGTCTTCACACACAGATACTTGTTTTAGTTTCAGCACTGTGCACAATGGTGATTTTCGGTTTGTGGGAAGCATGCCATGCAAATGACATCGTGTCTGTCATTAGAATCTGAGCTGTGATGTCAAAACAGTGTAGTGTGTCTTTCTAGCCTGGCCACGTTACACCTCATTAACCACTCGTGCACCTCTGCCTCCACATACACACAGAGACAGATGGTGGTAGGTTTTTTATTTAGAAAAAATTCACATTGTTTACACTGACTGTCCCTGAAAGTTCAGTTGCTATCAGCTGATACTTAAAAAAAAATCAAGTAAGAATTGATCTTATTTGTATTCGTTACCTGAGGTAGGAAGTGTTCTATAAAAGCAAAAATCTCTAAAGCAGCAGGTAAACATGATTATCATACAGTAACATTGCTTGTCTCGCCTGAAGCAAACGCAGGCTAGAGAGGCAGAAATTGTTTGACAGGGGAGGGAAATCTCTGGGAAAGATGACAAAGAACAGAGGTAGGAAAAGCAAAGATATGCCATGGCCTTGCTCTTCCTTCTAGGAGACACATGTCTAAAGCCTCAGCAAACAGAGCAGCCGTGGATGAGCGCAGGTCTTTTGGTATGAAGAGCTGGCAGCTCTCTCACTGCTTGCCCTTTGGTGTACCTGAAATACTGCGGTTGTCTGCCTGGAAAAGGCACAGAGCAAGCTCATTCTCCTCAGGTATCCTTTGTTTGGCTTAACAGTCAGAGAAAAGGGAATCCACAGGTCCTCTCAGCTTAGTCTTTAAGAAAGGCTTTGCCCAAGTTTCATTTCTGAGCTGTGGGCCGATGTTTGTTGTGGCAAGAGATCATGGGGCGTACTCGGCGTCGGCCTCTGGCCCCATTGCCGTACGCTGACTCGGCTGTATTAAGCGCACTTACGTGGCGCGATCGAAGGCAGGCGTGCAGTGAGAGAGAAGGCGGGAGAGCAGAATTAGGCACAATATGAATGGCTCTGTGGTGAGGCTGTGGTTGTATTACTTAGCAAGTCTCTTTTGCCAGGGACTCCTGAGTAAGTTTTTGTGTAAGAAACCAGAGCTATTTAAGAATGATACAACGTGACATGATTTTGAAAAGAGCAGAAGTCACTTCCAGAGACAGCACTATGAAATCTTGTGGTTTTGCTTCCTTTTTCTGTAAATTTTAGCTTTGTCACAGCTGAGATTATGATTGGTTTTCTTATGGCAAGCAATATGTACGAGCTTTAAATTATCCACGGTAAACAGCAGCTGATAGAAGTATTCCCAGTTCACTTCTCTTCCATCTCGTGTTTTGACAGCTTCTGCCAGTTCTGGGACAACAGCACGTTTCTTCTCTATTCTGCAGTACACAAAAGAGAAAACAATATTGCCATCAAAACTTTTGTCATAATAATCAAGTCTCCATCTTCCTTTTAGAGCGAGGCGGAACTTAAAATTGTAAACCTAGTTATGGTGAAAGAATTCATTGTTTTTCCTAGGAAATGAGCTTAGCAAATCCTGTTTGCTTCCCGAGCGTACAATGCCCGAAGTGGGTCTGAGGGTTTCTGCCAGAGGAGCCTTCACAACGGGTAACGTGGTGAGGAGGGGTACATTTCCATACAAAGGGAACTAGACCGGAAGCCAGGCAGCTAACGAGACAGCGTTATAATCCATCTTCAGGATGTTATGTTACAGAAACAGCATCCAAGCATCTTGTATCACAACACACTATTCACAGCGGAGCCAACTGCACACTGGGGGGGGGGGAAAAAAAAACTGAAGACTTGGGGCATGAAACAGGTAAGTTGGGGTTAGTGCGTTGTACGTACATGTGATCGAGATTCCAGGTACTGAAGAGGATTCTGCTTTCCCTGTTACTGTAGGGGTTGATAGAATGCTTGCATGGGCAGTCATCTCTGTCGAAAGGTCCCTGTAAAACAGGAGGGCTGCCATGAGAGGTGCTGCTCGCCACCCAGCGCTGGAAGGAACCACAGATAGATCACGCACGCTGTGCTGACCTCACCCCGCCAAACTAGACACTGCACTACGCGAGGCTCCGCAGAACCGTTGCCTTCCTCCGGTGTCGCTGTGAGTCTAGAACTGAGGCTCCGCTTCAGGAAGGGCTGAACTCACCTGGCAAGAGAACCAGCCCTCCGCAGTGCACAGGCGGGCTGTCGCCTCCTCTCTTCTGTCAAAGTAGCAGCCGTTGTATTTCACAGATCTCAGTTTGTCGGACATCAGGTCGATTATCCCTTTATATGCATCTCTTGCCGTAGGATGAACATTTGAAATAAAACTACTAACCTGGGGGGGGGGGACCCAACAGTCATTCCGTGGCGCCTGTAGCAGCCCAAGGCTTTTTTCTACAATCGGTATGTCACACCGTAAAAGCGTTTTATATATAGGTGGTCACAGAATTACTTTTACTAGCAGCTTAAAAATAAGTTACTTCAACAGAAACTTTTACCTCTTTCATGTAGCTTCGTATTCTGCTTTCACAACTGTATCGCATGTAGCTTGACTTGTTCTTAAAACGAGACTCTAGACCTAAAGGGAGTTAGATGGTGGTGTAACTTTGTACTTCCAGGGCTGCGCTTCTGCCAAGCTGGGAATGGATCCCTTCTTTTCACAAACTCACTATGCATGCATGTTTTTTCTTTCCCTTTTTCATTTTACTGGTTCAAGACTACCCTGGCTCTTAGCACTAAAAAGGACCAAGCAGAGCATCTCCTATGAGAGCAGTAGCTGATATTATAGTTGCTAAGTATTTCTCATTAATGTGCATATACAGAAGACTAAGAGATTGTGAAAAGAAAATGGAATTGTTTAGGAAGAACTGCAGCAATGACTTGGGAACAGGAGGGGGAACTTGCAAAAAAAGCATAAAGAAAACATCGAGAATGGTTAGCTGGCTGATACGTGCGCATTACCAACATACTGTTAGCAAATTGTTAAAAGACTGTAAATGCAGACTTATGTTAACAGAGAAAAACATATTCCAGAGCGATCTTGGATAGAACAATAGGGAACCTTGCTTTTTTACCATTTTCTGATTGGAAATATGCCTATATTTGAATGAAACTTAAAACTGCACGCTGACATCAGCGGTAACAACTGCCCTGACCAGGTACCTGGTGACATCAGCCAGGACTCCCCGCGTGTTACACTACTTGCACAACAGCGAGAGCAGCAGCAGGGCGGAGTGGGGCCTGGTGCCCCTGCGAGCGACAGACGGACGGACCTTCAAACCATTTCTCGTCGTCCTTCTTGTCCTCGGCCGGGATGTTTCCGTGCAG